TATATATATATAATATGCAGTGTGCTTTAGAGAGGAAATGTTCAGTGTTATAATCTAGAACATCTATATGAGAAGCCTCTGAAGTGTAACTGGGTAAATGTTGAATCTAGAGCCAAGGCAACTGTCTCAACACATTAGAAATGCATGTCCCTCCATGCTGCAGAGGCTAGCTGTCAATCATTTAGGGGCTTCTAGTCAAGTTAACGTAAGARACGAGCCCTAGGAGTCATTTCCTGTTGAAACGTGGCAGTATGAATCTGTAGCTTGTCGTTAACTCAACAGATCTATTTTTAAAAACCCCTCTCTGTGTTGCTATCTCTCCCGACACTACAGACTCCGGGAAAAGAGCTTTTTAGTGAAATCCAACCACCTGCCGACTGCTAAATGAGAAAGCGTGGGCTAGCCGAGAGGGAAAGGAGAGTGGGGGTGGGGGGTGTTGTCAAAGAGGCTCTGTTCTCCCCTAGGAGCTCAGTCAGCTGTAGACTTGCCCTGTTGTGGGGAGCTGATAGTATTGCTTGCCAGGTATTTCCCACCACTTTTCCAGTGAGAAGAACAGACTTGTTGGGCTGGTTGAGGGTGTAGAGGAAGGGAAGCTGAGGCAAAAGTCACGTGTCCTTGCACCTTTAGGCCTTGACTGCATGTAACTCCACCCTACTGGGACCAAGCCAGCGGGAAGCAAAGGCCGCCAAGGCAGCCTCAGTCATCAGTCGGTGTCGCTCACAAACACTGCTGGAACTTGTAAAATCACTCGTAACACAGATTTTTTTTAAACACATTTTTTCTATCTTCAGTGGCCCTCGAGGCCTCTCAGACCACTGCGCTGTCATTACTGCATTTAATTTTAGGATTAGCACTCCAAAGGAGAGGCAAGTTCGTTTAAAGTCGCACTCCTCCATTGCGGCGTGCCCTGTGTCGGTGCGTGTGTGTCTTTCACTTCGAGCCCAGCGCCACTTTTAACAACGCAGGTGCATCCTGCCTCACGGCCGACTTTCACCGCCTGCGAGCACGACTTAAACAAACACTCCTTTTGATTTAATAAGCTTGTCTTGTATCCTAAAATATTCACACACACACACACACACCCTCCTCTTCCCCACAGCGCTGTTTACAAAACACAGGCGTATATGGYCGTGTTCACATCGCTCATTGTTGTTGACTTGTAAGAGAAAAGCAAGCCGATAATATCCAAGAGCTCCCCCCTCTCCCTCCCGCCTCTATCTTCTGCTGGAATGCTGCAGCAAATTAAACAGCATCTTTGAATAACACACGATCCTTTTAGCTGAGGGAAGGTGTGTTTTAGATTAGACATGCTTGGCAGCCTTAAAAGAATGTAGGAAACAGTTATAACTGAAGGAATATTGAGTAATTTAATGTGTGTCGCGAGGTTATATCAATCAAGAACTCTGGAGCTGGTAACTGGAGAAACCGTGTCTGCTGGGATTAGATTTTATTGAAGTGTTCCATTCTGAGGAACTACACTCAGTGGCTACACAATTATTCCCTTTTTATCAAAGTATAGAGCTCCTGCTCTTTGTCTGGGTGACATGGCAGTAAGCATTAGATCGTAGAAGTTAAAAMGTGCTGCTGCTGAAGTAATTAGAGCGCATCTCTGCAAAGACCTTGCTTTAGTTTCCCCTCCTCTCGCAACGAAAGCTACACCCATGCAGCCAGCACTCACTTCAGTCCTTTAAAATRAAAAAAAGAACTACCCATCCCCCCCACATAGCCCCTCGCCACAGTTAAACCCCTCTCCTCCCTCCTCTTTCCACTTCTCCACTTGAGCAAGGAGACCCTCTTCCAAGCACACAAAATGGCAGGAATGTTGAAAAAGCCAGGCGGACCCTCGAGGAGCCAGGATGCCCATTTCAACCATCTTGCCCCACATAACCTCCCAGAGTCTCTTTGCTTCATTTTTCGATCAAACGGCAGATTTTTTTTTCAAAGTTTACCTCAACTTTTACTTTCGCAGCGTTTTACGTCTCAGTGGCTTTTCAAAAAATGCCCTTGAGGAAGTAGACGTTTTAGTGCCCGAAATGAATTCAAAATATGCTTTTGACGTTGGAAGAATAGACGCGCATGCTGTCTGTGAATGATTAAACTAGATCCCTGTCCACCCCCCATCGTCCCTCCCCCCTTACACACCACCACCACCACCTCCTATCTTTTTCATTCTCGCTGTCTGTTCTTTGTGCCTGTTGATGTGCTCATGGGTGTAGACACAGAGATTTGGCTTCTCTAAATGAATTTGCCGCCAAGGTGAGGGGACACTAAACTCTAATTCCCCTGATTTGACTCCTCTGAAACATGTCATCTCCTTCAGATTAGTCCCTTTTGTTCTCTGCCCTCCCCCCACTCTCCCTCCATCCTGCTCCCTCCTCCCCTACCAACTTCTCTCCATCTCTCAACAGGCACACATACATCGACACACATACACATCCTGCGTTGCTCACAGATCGCACAATGGGACCAATGGATATTTTCATTCATGTTATCTTGTAAATGACTTCCAGGGATGCTGTAAAGGAGGAGGGAGAAAAGGAAGGACTGGGGGGGAGAAACGGGAAGAGGGCAGTAGTGAGAGAGATATAATGCGTCACTCAGACCCAGCGTGGGCGATAAACACCCCCCCCCCCCCAACCCTTTAGAACAGCTCATTCAGCTCACAGCAGATAACAAGCCCACCCTGGGGTTACACGCACACACGCACTCACACACCGTCTCAAAAAAACAAAGACAATGATGTCAGAGGCGCACTTGTACACACCAGCACCTCTACAAATGGTATCTTGGGTGTCAGGGCCATTTAATATCTTTCCCAGGCCTCTTTTCCTCTGCAAGCGGTAAGATAAACCACAGCCAGATCGATAACTGTGTTGACACAAACAAATAAATAACAGATGATGGCGATGTCAGTCATTGGAGAGAGAGGGGGGGGGGAGGGGATAAAAGGTAGCTACAAATCTTTTGTTAGGGAAAGTGTGGCTCGTTTCTCTGGTGTGAAACGGCTCAGCATGGGCCGTGGTGAAATAAACACCAGTAGTTAGTGTTGTCAGTGTAAATGTTACCTATGGTGGCTCTTCTTCTTTTAAATTTTTTAAAATTATTTGGATTAGAGCTTACAACGCTGTGAGCTGTCGTCTCCATTCATAATTATTAATAGCTGCAGAAGTGCYACACACTGTTGTGCCAAATGTTTGGAAGAGCTAACCCCAGGAAACGTCTCGTTGTCTGAATACAAGTCATTTTTATTAACGCGTGAGGGAGGTTTTTAATGAAACATGACAGGAAATTCACTGTTTTTGTTGTTGCGTAGCAAGGAAGGATTTTTGTGCCTAAATAATAATTTTGCACAGTTTGATTGCACACATTTTGGTGATTTTAAATGTCCTTTTTTGTGTGAGTCTATTAATACCTGGCTGTGTCTGGAAAGTGCTCTTCCAGGCTTCGCAGTAACCATTAGCCGTTTCCCCTCCCTCATTTTTCCCCCCTTCTCGACAGAAGTGGCTGTGTGTTTTTGTCCTCTGCAGCGTGAGTGTTTTTGTTAAGGAGATGAGAGTTCACGACCTGGCCATACCACCAGTCACATTCAATTTAACAACACAGCCAGCCACAGCCTCCACTTCTCACATAATGTTACAGGGGCTGCTGCTGACATCATTAAGCACCTTTTTAAAAATGAATGAGAGACGGGAGGGTGGACTACTGTGTTTTTTTCCCACTCAAGCTAATTCAAAGCTAATTAGACATATGACAAAGTGGTAAGATACATTCTCCCTGYTATAAAAATGTTATAATATGTTATAAAAATAATTTAAGTCATTATTATTTCAGCCAGTTCTAACGTTACAGTTCGGTGCAGTTTTGTTTGACTGGGACTGTGCCTGTGTTTATTCTGAGCTGGTGTTTAGTCTTGCACCAGCTCTTTTCCACTCAGCAACCAAATATCTTGCTCTTGGTCTGGAAAACTGGTTTCAAAGTTGCACCAACTCCACGCCAGACTAAAAACCACAAACAAAGTGGTTCTTGATTCAAAGTAGTGTTATAAAGCTTGTGAGGTCATTCTTTGTTTTCTTTTTTTTTTTCAGTGTAATGATTTAATATTTCTAGTCCTTGTTTGTAATCACTACTGCCAACAACAGTTTACTGATTATAAATTAGAAGCAGCAGTCATAAATTACTTAAATGACTGCGAAACCTTGGCTTGAAACTTGTTATTGTCCACCACAAACAATGCTTYCTAGCTTTGGCTGCTGTTAGCAGAAATAAAACAAAGCAGAGTTTTAGTTAACAGTGTTTTATTTTCATCTCTGTAAGCACATTCAGTCAAACAATGGGGATTTAAAAGATTTAAAAATTTTAATTTTAGACATTATGGCTGTTCATAAAAATTTACAAAAAACAACATTGTGTCAGTTTTCTTTCCATTAATAATGATACACCCCCATCCCTTACGGGGTAGCATAACAATGGGAGATTCCTGTTCAGAGTAAGGAAGAGCTGCAAGGACGATCGATGAGTAATCAAAATGACCAGCATTATTCTGAAAGCACCTTTGTCCTTTAATCCTTTAACATTCGCCCCTGAAAAWTTTTAAAGCCTTTTGAATTTTTTGTAAGGGTGTCAAGTTGAAGGTAAGAACCGGAGGAAGTCGTCTGCCACCCTGGTTTTCAAAAAAACTGCAGTTTTTGCCCACCGGTGGAACAGACTGTTAGCAGACATTTAGACACATTTTTCTATACATTTATAAATATATAATTTTATAATATTTTGCTGTGTCAGAGGCACAGAGCAGTAAGTATAAAATTTATACTGAAATCAAATCAAGCTGCAATGTATCGAGAATCGTTTTGTATCGTGAACTCTGTATTTAAAAACATATGTCCAAAATGATATCCAGCCCTATTAGACATTGTGATCCAAAATGGAAATGAAGGGTTCATTTAAACTGTGAGTGAAACTGTTCTGCAGACTGCCAGTTTTCAAATATCCCAAGTCCCTCTGCAGGTTTAGTCTCTCCAATGTTAACTCCATTGTCGCAACCCTTCAGTGATGACTCAGGGACAGGATGAGGTTAAAGCCAGTATCGCTCACTGGTGTATAAATGGAGTGGAACAATAACACAACTCCCCTTGGGCATAATGTTTGCTTTGGAACGGCAACCTTGTAGTGCTCCAAAAGTCTTTAATCCTATTACTCGCATTCCAATTGAATTTGACTCAAGGAGAAAAACGTCTTTTCAGCAGAGGTAACAGCACACACACGCCAAAAATAATTATATATATGACTGAGTAGGACTGCTTAAAAATCATGAAAGCTCTGATAAGTGTGAACATCATCTCTAAAATCCCCTCCTTTTTTTCTTACTTGCAGATTGTGTGTACATAGAGAGTCGGCGGCCCAATACTCCATACTTCATTTGTAGCATTCAGGATTTCAAGCTGGTGAGTAGATTTTTAGCTGTTTACTGTTTTTCTTTTTCCTCTGGTGGTGCTTTGTTGTCATGCTTGCCTGAGACTCAATACAAGACAATTCAGCCTCRTATCCCATGCTGAACAATGCGTGGCTGTTGCTTTTATAAAGGGAAATAAAGAAGGAAGATACTAGAGCTGCATGCACATCAACATGTGTAAAAATCCCCCCGAGAGTCTGAGTTATATATTACCTGCTGGTGCAGTCCACTGTCTGTCCTGTAATAATGCTTGTAATGAAAATATAGATGTTTGTAGATGCACTGAATTGATTTAATGAAAGAAACCTTCACCAGTTTTCAATTGATTTTTTACAACATAATGTGACCAAATTACCTCTTTCCCTGAATAAAGAAAGAAATTAGTTTTTAATTTGCTGTGAGAACGGCTGATTCATCAGGCTCAGTCAGTTTAGTGAGAAGGTGCTTGTTTTTCCCAAGCAACAGGACACTTAAATTGTATCACACACAAACACGTACACACACACACACACATACAGTGGTAATTGATTTTCTCACACTCATTCCCCACGTTTTGTGAAAAGGAAGGTGCTCTGGAAATCACCACAACAGATTTGTCTTTGTTGCTGCAGATGAAAAAGATGCAGCTTTATGGTTTGAGTGATCCAGATATTTTGCTTCCCGGCAGCTGAATGACACACAAATCATCAGCATTTCATGGCCCTGTGCACATCATGCAGAATGTGGTTTTTTTTCCGAATAGACCTGTCGCGATAAGCAATAAATCAATTAATTGCATGATAAATTAAAATTAGGTTGATAATTTGGATTTGCTTGTTTGTTTTTTTATCACCTCTCCCTCTTTTCTACTCCTTAGCGTAGGGAGGAGTGAACTCTGGCATCAGGTATTTGCCACACGCGTGGTCTCTAACTAGGGCTGCAACGATTAATCGATGACTAATCAATTATTAAAATAATCGATGACTAATC